TCTAAGACATCAGAGACTGACATTTTGTACACCATGGCCTAGTTTTATCAGCAGTACAGATGAGAAGTGTTAGATGTGATTAAGCTGACCAGTGCATACAGAAAAGTTAGCAATGAGGAACAAGCACCTCATTCAACAAATGTTTTGGCCCTCACCACTGCTGCAGTAGGTTTTAGTGGTACTGAGTAACTTTGAAATAAAAATAATTCTGGATCATTGCATTAAAAATCCTGTTAGAGCTGTTACAATCTAAGATCAGGGGCTGGTAGACAATTAAATTCCTGCTTTAATGTATCTTGGCAGCAGAGGTTACTATGTGGGGTTAGCCTCATACTCACAATGTCAAGTGCCCAGAGTGAGAAAACAACAATACACTTATACACATGCACAAGTCTTTGGTCATAAAAGCAGAGCGTACATATTGGGCAGGCTGTCTGTGGAACAAATCTGCAAGTCGGCCCACCGAAGAAAACCACATCACTAGCAGTTGAAGAAGTACTCAGATTCTTTACCTAAACCTACTGTATGTAACTTAGCCCTGTAAAGCCCAACATATCAAAAAATAGCCAGAACATTTAAATTTTTTGGAACTGAGATGTTTATTCAACCTTTTAACAAAATCCAAAATATAATTCATGATTCGAAATTCTAGATTCACGATTTTTATTTGCCATACAGTATATGCATAGACAGACAGTCCAGGCATATTGGAATAGAGGTGCCATATTATTTAGATTATTTCTATTTCTTTTGTATCACATTTGATAAATGGGGCATTTTTGGCGATTTTTTTTGCTCAGAAACCTCACATATCAAATATGATACAAATGGTTTTATAGGGTTAAGGTAGCACTAGCATGAAACTCCACTCCGCTCTGCTCCACCCAGCACTGCCTCTCCCTGCTCCACCTCTGTCATCAGACTCCTAAAAGTTGTTGAGTGGGATTGACCTTTCTAACCAATCAAAGATTTTCAATTATTTCTGCCCCGAGGAGGCCCCGGGGAAGACCCAGGACACGCTGGAGGGACTATGTCTCTCGGCTGGCCTGGGAATGCCTCGGTATTCCCCCGGAGGAGCTGGAGGAAGTGTCTGGAGAGAGGGAAGTCTGGGCATCTTTGCTTAGACTGCTGCCCCCGCGACCCGGTCCCGGATAAGCGGAGGAAAATGGATGGATGGATGGATATTTCATTAATATTTTGTAGTATTCATGTGGACGGCAAAGTAAGAATTTCATTGTACAGGGAGACAAGTTTCCTAACTGTGCATATGACAAATAAACACTTTGACCTTGACCTTGGCCTCCACTGTGTTCTGCTAAGATCTGTCACGTTTTGCCGAGCTCTTCAGATATGTCATTAGAAAATTACAATAAATAAGGAAGCAACAAAACTTACTGATCAAGCAGAAATAATTGAAAATCTCTGATTGGTTAGAAAGGTCAATCCCACTCAACAATTTTTAGGGCCATGACACACAAGCCCTTGGTGAGTGTCTGTCGGGGCTCATTCTCCCATTGTGTCCCACACCGGTGGCACTAGTCAACACCTGTTGGAGGCTTTTCAGACAATTCAACATGTTGAGTCAGCGTAGGGCTGGTTGGGCCTTGTCAGTAAGAGAGAGAGACCACTCTGATTGGCTTCTCAGCTTAGTAAATCAAATCAGAAGAGAATGGTTCAGCTTTCACCCATTTAGCGGGTTTCTCCTTGTTTTTCACCTACACAACCTCCTTTCTTCTTCTACAACTAAAAGACCAAGGGCAGAGAACGGCAGTGTCATTTGCAACTTCTTATCACACATATTCTCAATTAGAAGCCGCTATATACAACAGCTGATTTGAACAAGAGCTGCTCTGTTTACACATTGTATTTCCCCTGTCTAGCTCTTCTTCTTTCCCTTTCTGAATGATGAATACAGATACCGCCACCTGCTGGTGGTGGGGGGGTTATTTCCTTCATACAGGAGCAGAATATACATACTACTTGGCCATTGGCTGTCGTCTGTGCAGTGTATTCAAGTGCCAGTGTTTCAGCCTGACTGACCCAGACAAAAGCCTCTTACACATCGCCTTTTCAAGGCGGGATTGGGGTGTCTTTACTCTGTCTCGTTTTCTGTGTGTAAGGCACAAAGCCAAAATAACAGGCCATTTTCATTGTGCCGCTGGTCCGCCTGGGGAGGTAGTACCAGAGGCGAAGGAGAGTTATGCTCTGTGTACAAAGGCAATCTGGAACCAAGTGCTATGTTTTGATGACATCATATGTGTGCTACACTATTACCTGAAGAGACAGAAGAAAACAGCTGGTAACATCTGCATGTTTTCTTACAACGCTGGTCTAGTTTCTAAAAAAAACATCAGTAACAAAGAAAAGAAAAGAATGCTCCAATTGGGAACACAACAAGATCCAAGAACTTCCAGTTCTTCCAACAGAAGATGAAATCAACCAGTACTTCACAGGCACAGTGAAAAAAAGACTGCTTTTGGAGCAACTAGCAAAAAAATTTTATGAACACAGGTAAACTAGAGACAAAGCACAAGTCAAGGACAAATTGAAAAAACTGAGAAAGAAATTCCACCAAGTTAATGACCACAACGGGCGGAGTGGAAGGGGTCGAATGGAGTGGCCCTGTTTTGACTTAAGACAGTCCAAATGGGGAACTAGCCATGCAGTTTACCTGGGCCCGTTTCAAGAAGGAGGTTTAACAAACTCAGAGTTCAAACCTGAACTCTGAGTTGACTTACACAGAGTTGGAAAACTTGGAGTTTTCGGTTTCAGAACAGCTGAAAAGAGTTGGTTTAATCAACTCTGAGTAGGTTGACTCAGAGTTAGGCGCGTGCAGCGCGACTATAAAAAGCCCTGAACAAGGGAGTGAAGAAATTACGAGTCACCATGGCAACAGGACCAAGCCAAAATAGGTCTGCGTTTTTCCCCGACAGAAATGGATGTGCTACTACAAGCATATAGTGACTACGAGCCCATATTTCGTA